ATAACAAAATTGATTACGATTATTTCTTGGAGCTGGTGTTGTGGCACAGCAAGTTAAGTTGCTGCCTGCAGCACTGAGATCCCATACAAGTCCTGGTTACTCCACTTCCGATCCAGTTCCCTGCTAATGTGCCTGGGATAGCAGTGGAAGATGGTCCAAGTACTTTGGCCCCTGCCACCCACATGGGAGAAATGGATGAAGCTCCTGGCTACTGGTTTCAACTTGGGCCACCCATGGCCATTATGACCATTTGGGGAGTGAACCAGTAGGTGGAAGACCTCTCTCTCTCTGTTTCCTTCTCTCTCTCCATAACTCTACTTTCCAAATAAATAAAATAAATCTTAACAATATGATTTCTTACATATTTATAAATTTTCCATATATAAGGATGACATGAAATACTAAAGTTTATATTAAATTAAATGTTAAGAAAGATGTCTAATAACTTACATAAATAATTATACATGAAACATGAATATCATAACAATCCAAGTTTGTTTGAAAGCTTAACAATTTAGATGAGGACTAAGGGAATATCTGGCAACTTTAGAATGGGATAAAACAGGTGGACTAGAATATTTTAACAAAAAGGACAATTCAAACTTTTCAGTTCTCCATGTAATTCTTTTCATGAATATATTTTCCTAATGACTGCTGAACTCAACAAATCTTTCTGTTGCAATACCAAAGGTCTCTGGTATAATCTTAATAAGAACTTCCTCTTTTACAGAATTTTCCTGTTTTTAAAACAGGTTTATTATTAAACCAAGTAAAAATAATTGCTCTGCTGTTAACATAAGCATGCAATTCCTAATTGTCCTTCAAGATAGAAAAAGAAAAGAATATATTATTTCAAGCTCTGATGGACTTTTGATGAGGAGTTAGGAAAATTTACATCCAGCTCACTAACTCAACTCCATCTCAGATCAATAGGAAAGTCAGAATGCCTGCATGGGATGATTCTGTGGAAGTAATATAAAAATCAATTGCTGTTTCTGCAACATTATCACTCTGTGTACTTGCTATATTCAGAATTCCTTCTCCAAAGACAAATTAAAATAGTTTTAGAATCCATGACCTTCAGACTGAAGTGATGAGTATCTCCCCATCCCCGCCCCACAGTAAACATTGAATAGACCTGAAATCCCATCTTCCATTGACTAGCAAACTCCTATCTCTTCCCTAATCCAGAATGCATTCCACTAAAAGTCTGTATGTGCCTTTTACAGTTTACCTATGTTTTAAGAGGGTAGGAGTACAAAGTAGAATAAATTGAAGATTCATGCAATCAAAGGCTCATGTTTAAGGAACACTATTCAGAAAATGAGATTTGAAGTTTATTAACCTGGTCTTCCAATATTTCTAGTATGTTTTTAAAAAGTACGATAAACAACTTACTATTTTATTCCTTTTAGTATTTTTTTGTTCTACTTAATACCATTGGTTGAACTCTTTTTAATTAACACATAATTATTCTTAGGCATTTAAATTTAACTGAAAAGTGATCCCTGTTAAATATAAGAGTGGGAATAAGAGAGGGAGATGTACAGTTCGGCACATGCTCACTCGGACTTACCCCTAGTGGTAGAGTTAGAAACGTGCCAGGGGGTTCCAACTCAATCCCATCAAGGTGGCATGTACCAATGCCATCTCACTAGTCAAAGTAATCAGTTTCAGTTCATAATTGATCATAGTAATAGGATTAAGTGTCAAAGGGATCACATAAATAAGACTAGTGTCTGCTAATACTAACTGATAGAATTAAAAAGGAGAGAACAATCCAACATGGGAAGCGGGATACACAGCAGACTCATAGAATGGCAGATGTCCTAAACAGCACTCTGGCCTCAGAATCAGCCCTTAAGGCATTCAGATCTGGCTGAAGAGCCCATGAGAGTATTTTAGGCATGGAAAGCCAAGACACTCTGGGAAAAAAAAAAAAAGAAGACCTAAATGAAAGATCTCTGTGAGTGAGATCCCAGTGGAAAGAATGGGCCATCAAAGAAGGAGGTACCTTTCTCTGAAGGGAGGAGAGAACTTCCACTTTGACTATGACCTTGTGTAAATAAGATCAGAGTTGGCGAACTCAAGAGGCTTCCATAGCCTTGGCAGCTCATGACAAGAGCCTCGGGTGATTACTGATGCCATAAATAAGAGTGTCAATTGTTAAATCAACAACAGGAGTCTCTGTGCACTTACTCCTCATGTAGGATCTCTGTGCTTAATGTGCTGTACTATGTGAATTAATGGTATAACTAGTACTCATATTTTGTGCAACTGTGTGGGTGCAAACTGTTGAAATCTTTACTTAGCATATACTAAATTGATCTTCTGTATATAGATAATTGAAAATGAATCTTGATGAAGAATGGGATGGGAGAGGGAGTGGGAGATGGGATGGTTGCGGGTGGGAGGAAGGTTATGGGGGGGGGAGCCGCTATAATCCAAATGTGGTACTTTGGAAATTTTAAATAAAAGTTAAAAAAATAAAAAATAAAAAGTGCGATAATCTCTCCACAAAAAAAATGAGAATCAGAAAAATCATACTCAGAGGAAGGAGTGCAATAGGGGCATGGGACTTTGGATAAGAATGCAGGGATGCTAATGGCAGATGCATGCAAGCATGTGTATACACACTTATAAATACTAACTCAAGAAAATGTGACATGTCCTAGAAAAAAAGTGAACAAAGGGCATACATCTGAGGCAGGGACTAGTAAGGACTGGGCACATAGCTAAGGGAACGTAAATTATTAGGACTAAATGTTCCAAAAGTCAATGAGGAAAAAAACCACAGCTTTCTCTACCTCCAATAGCTCCTGGAACGATGACTTCAGCAAGCTTGATTTCCATGAAGGAGTGAAGCAGTGAAGTAAAGGTTATATTTGGTGCGGGTCATGGATGACGGACACCTCCTGACATCCCTTTCCAAATCAACCTAAAAATGATAAAATAAAGTTTCTACCAGGTGACTTCTAAGATTCCCTGAACCAGGCAATAAGGTGAAAAATGTAGATACTATGTTGACTCAAGCATCAAGATTTCATTCTTTTTTACTTGCTGTATAGTTTTCTGTTGTATATATATACCACATGACATCAGTTGATGGATATCAAGGTTGATTCCATATCTTTGCCATTATGAATTGAGCTGCTGTAAGCATGGGAGTGCAGGTAACTATTCCATATGCTTACTTCACTTCCTTTGAATGTATTTCCAGCAGTGGGATAACTGGATCATATGGCAGATCCATTTTTAGTTTTCTGAGAAATTATCTATAATGTTTTCCATAACAGTTGTAGCAATTTATAGTCCCATCAATAGTGTGTTAGAGTGCCCTTTTCTCCACAATCACGCATTTGTTATTTTTTATTTTTTGGTGATAGGCATTCTAACTGGAGCGAGGTGATACCTCTCTGTGGTTTTTATTTGTATTTCCGTGATGGTTAGTGATACTGAGCGTTTTCATGTGCATGTTGGTCAATTTCATTTCTTCCTTTGCAAATATCACATGTCTTATTTTATTTGTGTCAGTAAATATATACAGAGTATAAAAATCATATGGATGCCATAGCATTTGGTATATAGGTATATATATTGCTTTCACTGAATCATACCATGTATGTCACCATATACCTTTTTTCCATGTTATGATCATTATCATGAATCTCTCACTTTTAGCTATTATGTATTCAAGAATAGTATATGCACATGTCTACAAATGAACTGAATGTGAAGAAGTTTTAAACCTGGTTACATTTAAAACAAAAAACTTATAAAATGAATGTAGATACCATTCATATTATAGTGAATAAAAAAGACCAGGGCCCCATACGAGCTCCAATACGAAGGACTGTAGATCTGTAGGTGGCAGTTTGTGAACAACTTACACTGGAGTTGAATTTCTGAAATGGGGCAAGATGCATTTTTGCAACAGTATTTTGCATTTGATAAGAGGAGGAAAGCAAGCAGGGCGAGAGTATCACCAGTGAGGGGGAAAGAAAGAAGAGTTTGAGAATTCTTTTTTTTTTTTTTTGGACAGGCAGAGTGGACAGTGAGAGAGAGAGACAGAGAGAAAGGTTTTCCTTTTTGCCATTGGTTCACCCTCCAATGGCTGCCGCGGTTGGCGCGCTGCAGCCAGCGCACCACGCTGATCCAAAGGCAGGAGCCAGGTGCTTCTCCTGGTCTCCCATGCGGGTGCAGGGCCCAAGCACTTGGGCCATCCTCCACTGCACTCCCTGGCCACAGCAGAGAGCTGGCCTGGAAGAGGGGCAACCGGGAAAGAATCCGGCGCCCCGACAGGGACTAGAACCCGGTGTGCCGGCACTGCAAGGCGGAGGATTAGCCTATTGAGCCACGGCGCCTGCTGAGTTTGAGAATTCTTATGGCTTTGTAGAACTTAGCTTCTTATAGGTAGCATTGGAAGGATCCAAATAGAAGCAGTGCATAGAAGCATCTTTATCTTGTGAGGGAGGCTTTGCTTTATGGCTGTGATTTATGATGGGAGGAGCAATTTGACAAGGCTGATGCCTTCCAAAGGGTCACTATTCCCAGGGGATTCGCTAATTGAAGTGCCACACAGATCCGCAGGAAGATTTAAGGTGTTGTCACCATTGGCAGGAAGAAAGATGAGATGACCTCACCTCTGTTTTTTGCAGTTAGTCTAGGAGCTACAAAAAAAAAATAGCCTTTGTCCCTGTGTGTTTTCTTTATAGTAGCTTAGTGTCTTGGACTATATTTATTACAGAAGTGCAGCTAAATCAGGCTTTGTCAACAATTCCTGGACTGTGTTTAGAAGAGGCATAAACAATCCCCTAAGAGTCATAGACAGTTCTGGCATCAAATACTTGTACTTTTCCTATAACATCTAATGTGCTTCTCTTGTTCTGCTTTACTGATAGAAATAGACAAAATCCCTTTGGCCTTGAAAGAACCTTTGATTATGTCACAATACTCAGCATACTCATAATCAAATCAGTTAAGTGGGCAAGTATTAGACACTGATATTTGTCAACATCTGAGAGAGCTGCTGAGGATACGAAATTGGGTAAGAAACCCAGGTCTAAAAGAAGAAGGTGTGGGGAGAAGATTGTACAGCATGTCATCAAATTGTAGATGAAGTAGTTACTTAAACCTAGTTTACAGTGACCAGAACTGATGGTAGAGATTTGAAATAGAGTATGGAAAGAAAGAAGAGCTTTTTATCGTAAAATTTAAAAACCAGTTTACAATGATCAGATTTGATGGTAGTGACTATCTGGTCTCTGTAACAATTATTATAAGGCTATACATAAAGATAGATTCGGGGATAGATACATGATAGATGTAGATTAAATAGATGATATATTATATATTCATAATTATATAGATAGTATATAGCTAGATAGATCAAGCTTATGAAGGATAGTTTGACCAGATACAGAACTCAAATTTGACAGTAGCAACTTCTGTATATCCACGTTTTCTGATGAGACATCTGCTGTCACTCAAATTATATAGAAAGGTGCCATTTCTCTCTGGCTGCTTTCAGCTTTCTTTCCTAGATTTTCTCAAATTGGGATGTTTTCAGCCATTATTTCTTGGAAAACTTTTTCAACTCTTTTTTCCCCCCTTTTTTACCTCTGGCACTCGATATATGAATGTTGACTTTTAGGTTTTTTTGCTCTTTTGTTGTTCCACAGGTTCCTAATGCTCTGTTCATTTTTTTCCTAGTTTATTTTCTCTCTGTTATTAAGATTCAGGAGTTCTAGGGTTGGCCTTGTGGTGCAGCTGGTTAAGCTGCTCCTTGAAATGCTGACATCACGTATCTCAGTGCCAGTTCAAGTCACTGCTGTTCCACTTCCAATCCAGCTTCCTATTAATGCAACTGGAATATAGTAGAAGATAGCCTAAGTATTTGGGCTCCAGACACCCACATGGGAAATCAGGATGGAGTTCCTGGCCCAGACCTGGCTATAACAGCTGTCTGGGGAGTGAACAAGTGGTTGGATAGAAGATCTCTCTCTCTTGCTCTCACCCTTGTCCTCTCCCTGCCTTTCAAATAACTGAATAAACCTTTTTTTTTAAATTCGCAAATTCTACTAATCTGTCCTCAAGTTCACTGATCCCATGGTCCGTCATTTCTCCTTTATTATTAGTCCCAAATTTGGCAAAAGATACAAATGTGCAGATTCAAGAAGTTGAGTAAACAATAAAAAAGATAAACTTAAGGAAAGCCATGTCAAAACACATAATGAGCTGAAAATGAAAACCTAACAAAATAGAAAAAAAAATGTCTGGTATACAATTTAAAATCAACAGGTTTTCTTTTTTTGGTTATTGTATTTTTCACTTACATAATTGTCATTTTTTTAATGGAATATGGTACATGTACCATAGTGGTTCTTTTGTTAACTTCTATTTCTTTGCTATGCTTTTCTTTTATTGTCTCAGAATTGGTAATTTCTTGTTGAAGCATTTTTATGATGGCTATTTTAACTCTCTGTTAGATAATTCCAATACTTGACTCATGTCAGTGTTATCATCATTTGACTGTCCTTTGTTATTCAAGTTGTTCTTTTTATTAAAAAAATGTTTTTATTTGACAGATAGTTACACAGTGAGAGAGACAGAGAGAAAGGTCCTCCTTCCGTTGGTTCACTCCCCAAATGGCCACCACAGCCGGAGCTACACCAATCTGAAGCCAGGAGCCAGGTGCCTCCTCCCGATCTCCCCCCCACATGGGCCCAAGCACTTGGGCCATCCTCCACTGCCCTCCTGGGCGACAGCAGAGCTGGACTGGAAGAGGAGCAACCGGGATCAGAACCCGGTGCCCATATGGGATACCGGCACTGCAGGCGGAGGATTAACCAAGTGAGCCAAAGCCAAAGTGCCAGCCCAAGTTGTTCTTTTTCTAGTTCTTGGTATGATCTGTCTGTGATTTTAGGTCGTAACTTGGACATTTTGTTTATTATGTTAGGAGTCTTGAGGTCTTATTTTAATATTTTATTCTACAAAGCAGTCATTCTGATTGTGTTTGGTATGTAGGTCCTGACTTTTATATTTGCGGGCTGTGATTAGAATGGCAGTTCAGTTTCCAGAGTCCGCTGTTATTTTGGTCTGCTTGCTTTCTCTTGTACTACTGGGTTTCCTAATGGTACTTGATGATGCTACTTCAGGAGGAAGAAGAATGACCCCCCATGCTAGGCCATCTGGTGCCTGAGGAAGAAGAGGGTCTCTGACGGATGGTGATAAAGGAACCTGGGTAAGGTGCTTTTGTAGTGGGATTCCTTTTGCCAGTGCTCCTCGGGATGTTTACCTCTCAACATGTGAAAATGGAGTGTTCTGCCTGGACGTCTGTCACTAGGGTTTCCGGTTTTGGTAATGGAACCAGATTATTCTGGTGTCGTCAGCAAGACTTCCATTTGGAGTCGGATTGAGCCTCCTTTTGCTGCTTCTGTTACTAGGTTCTGTCTCAGAAAACATCAATCTCTGCTGGGTCGGGGGTCAGAAGACATCTTTCAACTTCCCCCAGTTTGGGGGTCTCCAATCAATTTCTCTTCCTATTTCCTTTTTCAGAGTTCTTCTTCTGTTGTTTCCAGCATCACTGTATAATAGACTTACCCAAAGTTTAACAAGACTTATCAGGGAGGAGTAAAGAGAAATGAGTCTACTTTCTCTTGTCAAAAGTCAAAATACAGTATTTTTTTTAATTCCTATCTGTACAACTTCCCCAAAAGCTAAAATCTCATGCCTGAAACTTGTGTTGTGGCACAGCAGAAGCTAAGCTGTCACTTGGGATGCCAGTATCCCATATGAGCACCAGTTCAAATCCTGGAAGACTGTAATAAAGTTCCAAGCACCTGTGGCCCAGTCTCAGCTGTTATGGCCATTTGAAGAGTGAACCAATGGATGCAAGTACTCTCTCTCTCTCTCTCTCTCTTTCTCCCCCATCCTTCCATCCATCCCTCTCCCTCCCTTACCCTCTAACTCTGCCATTCAAATAAACAAAGCTTTTTTTTTTAAAGAAGTTAAGCTCAAGCCTATCCAGAAAGAATTATTTTTAAAATCATGTGTTCAGATGAGTAAATTAGGCTTTTCCTCTGAGGGTGGAAAAAGTAGTAGTAACAAATATTGCAAGACAGTGACTTGAAGACACTGCTAAATTGCACATTGTGATGCCCTCTATGTAGCACTGATAACATTTCCAGCATGGTCACTGTAGTCACTGACTCAACAAAATCTTACTGAGTGTTTACTATGAGCTAGAGACTGTTTTAGTTTCTGGGAATGTAATCATGAAAAACAGTTAAAAATATCAGCCTTTGTATAAATTTACCTTCTTTAAAACATTAAATATTTTAAAATCAACTCAATCATGGCCACTATTCAGTTTACTATCTCTTTATTCATAAAGTCAGTGAACTCAAATCTACAACACAAGGAGTATCATATTCCATTACATATTTTCAATCATTTTTTTCACATGTGAAATTTAATTATATTGTGTAAAGAACTGAGCAAAATAAAAACTATTTTAGTAAAAATGACATCATTATAGATTAAATTCAGAGGATTGACACCTATTAAATGTACATGTGTAGTTAAGCACACAAATCTGTTTGCAAATGTGTATATATTTGGATGCATTAAAATGACATTTTAAAATCAGTTTTCTTAAAAATAAATCATTATTCAGAGAAGATTTTCCTTGTGAAAGCCACATTGTTGTTACCAGAATATGACAAAAGAAGAGAGAAAGAAGGAGGGAGGGAGAGAAGGAACGAGGGCGGGAGGGAGGGAGGGAGACATAATCCTGGCTTATGGAGTTTGATTTTGGAGGACTGGGAGAGCAGCAGCACCATAACGAGAAACACTGAAATAATGAGTATAACTGATTTTAGGACAAAGTGTGATTAGTTTTTGCACATGCTAAATTTGATGTGGCAAGTTAAAAATGTTCCAGCATGAACATTCTAGAACAGGACTTAGAAAAAATACACATCTGGTGTCACTGACAAAAGAGTAGAAGCTGTAGGAAAGGTGAGAATCTATGAGAAAAAATGACTTAGACAGTGACAAGTACAGAGAGACCAGAGGACTGATTCTTAAGGAGTAATTAAGAGTTCAGCTCCAAGCCTCCTCCCCCTTTCTCTCTCATCCCATCGCCTCCACCACATAGATGATCCCATCTAATTATAGAGCCAATTTGGTAAACAAACCTATTCCCTACCTAAGCTATTATAATTACAATATAAATAAACACAAAAATGAAAACAAAATAAAGAGGAAATATGTGAAGTAAACTACAAAATCATATGATATAGAAAGAAGTAAGAAAATTCTAGGCCTATAAAGAAGAGAGTGCTGTGGGAGAAAATGAATTTTTTGTATTCTTGTTTTGTGAAAATTTCTAGTCTCATAGTTATTGGAAAACTAAGACTTGGGAAGATTTAGAAATCAGTTATAGTACACTTGAGGGAGTGTGCATCTGTGAGTGCTTGATGTGGTTGAAAATAAGCCAGAACTTATGGTAAATATAAAACTTGTTTATTTGAGACCTTGAGGAATAAGAAGCTAAAACCACTTTTGCACATGCTCATATTTCTTGAACAAAAATATTTGAAAAAAAATACAACCACAGGCAAAACTAACAATATAATTTAGATCATAGTCACATAAGATTTCAAAGAACATGGATATCTAAAGGTTGTAAGAAATCCTAACAAGAGAATCAGAGAGTCTAGAAAAAAAGTATTTTTAAAAAGTGAATCTTTGAAGTTTTAGTAACAGTGAGAAGGAAGGGAGAGATGGCCCATGACAGAGAGGCTGACTGGTATAAACAAAGTTGAAGAACACGTGCAAGATTCTTACTGTCTTTTAATAAAATATGCAAATATGGACTCCCAAATGATATATGAGTGAAGAAAGTAGAGGATCAGAAAAGAAGCTTGTTGCAATGAGAGCTGAATACAGGACACTGGACAGTGAAAGTTGAGAGGGAGAGAGTAACTAGCAAAGACAGGTCCAAAGGCCATGTCTTAGAAAATCATATAATCTGAGTTCAAT